AGTGAAGATCAGAGGTTCCTTGTGAATTGACTGGGATGTTGTATAAGTATTCTTTTGGGGGTTCTTTTCTATTGATTGTTGAGGTTATATGATAGATTAATCAAAAAGGAATATCCATTTAAAATGTGTTCATTTTATTATATGGAAACATTCTCTCAAGTTAATTAAAAAATATATGTGGCTTAGGCTGATACTGAAGTGGTTAAAGTAGATCACTGTACTTAAAAAGTTCATATAAGTTGTTTCCTTTAACTATTTCTTAAATATTTTGAATGTGTGATTAGAGGTTTTTGTTGTCTGAGTTAATTATATTAGAATGTTTGGTTGTGGGGTCATCTAGAATTCAGTTCATATATTGGCTTTGTTACTTAGTACTTACATGGCCTTAGGAAATTTCTCATCATCTCCTCACCCAGTTTGCTTATTTTCAAAATGAGGATTAATTGTGTTTAACTTTAAGGTGGTTTTATAAATGAGATACAATTCATGTACCCTACTTAACAAGGCCTGGCAAAGATTAAGCCCTGAATAAATCATAACTACTGTGTTATTGTTCATCTGTTAAATTTCAACAGACTCCTTTAGTTCAGTGAACTGACAGCATATATTTTTGCCCATGCCACACCCCCATCCCCATTCTGAAATGTTTCTGGAATTTTCTTAGATGATTTACTATAGAACTTTGTTAGATTATGAGGCCTTTTGAGAATCTGATAAGAACTGTGACAATATTACCCAGAAAAATGAACTGAAAAAAAAAATACCATACAGTTTTCCATGGGGTTGTTCATGGACTCATTGATGCCTATAAATAAGAACCTTTGTTATTGAGCAAGAGCATAGAAACAATTTTGTTACCCATATATGATGTTAAACACTTTTTTTAGTAGTTTTTACTTTAAATTTTCAAATTTAGACTTAAGTTTCTTTATCCCTGGGTTAAAATGACATGCCATGAACTGTTGACTTTTTAAAATAAGAATGCTAAATTACCAGTTTTTATATTTGAAAAATCACCCTAACTTTGATCAGATTGAATAATATAACTTTAAAAAATGATTATCTCTTTAATGTTTCAGTTTTACATTATGGTGTATTTGTCCTAGAGCTGTAAATTTTGACATGTGCTTCTTAACGACATTGTATAATATGATTTCCTGGATTTCTGAAGTAGCAGTTTTAAAAATATCTAAAATTATTACTGTTTGAACATCACCCCAAAAATTCAGTAAAAACTGCATCTTACTATTTTGGATATTTTCATCATCATTTAATATTTTAATTCTACCATTTTTTATTAGGAGGTATAGAAGGTAAACACTATGGAAGGGGAATGTCAAGATTTTAATGATCCTAGGTGTCATTCTTCAAAAACAATTATTGTTTCAGAAACTGTTTTGACTGGGCCTATCTCATCTTTACCCTCTCTGGGGAATGGGAATGAAATGACACCTGGATCAGTTACACAGCCAAAGAAAATAAGAGGAATTGGATTTGGAGATATTTTTAAAGAAGGCTCTGTGAAACTTAGGACAAGAACATCCAGTACTGAAACAGAAGAGAAAAAAACAGAAAAGGTAGCAATGATAAACCTCACCTATTAGAATAATGCACTCATTCATTAAAGATTTTTAAAAATCAGTCAGTTTGCAACTGTGTTACATTTCCTATTTTGAGATCATTAATAATTGGTATGAATGTGAAGACTGAAACTTTTCAGGTTTACAGTGATTGATGTTTATGTTTGATTCTTATAAAATTAGAATGTTTATTGGTAATTTAACACAGTGGAAGCTTTCTTACTGGAAGTTTCACAGAGTTTTTTAAGTTATTGTAGTGTAAATATAGAACAGGCAAGTTTTTGCCCCTATTAAAGCTAAAATTATATATGTTTTTTTCTTTTAATTTTTAGTGGACTTAAAATGGGCCATTTTAAAATGAATTTACAATGGAATATTAAATTGATTAGGCACTGCTTAACTTTCCTCTGGATTGTTAGCAATTGTGAAAACTAATCCTCTCTATAAATGTATGGAGAACTTTATCATTAGCATTTCACTGACACTGTAGAACAAATTAAAGTGAATATGTCATAAATTAAAATCTCATAGGAGATTTTTGAAACCTCAAGTGTTTGCGGGGGGTGGTGGGAGAAAATAGCTGCAGTCTTTAGAACATTTATTTCAAAGCTGTTGTTTTATAACAAAGGTGTTCCTTCTGTTAACACCTTGGAGATTCAGATTGAGTCCTTCAGGAGGCTTTTACTTTGCCTTTCAGGACATTGTTTCCCTTTGTGGTTCTCAGTTGTGTCTTTATTTAATTCATAAAAGTTCAGAGTATTTCAGTTTTGAGTTTTAGTTTTTCCTTGCTTAGTTTAGCCACACATTTCACTTATAAGACTGTTTTGCTTGATGAAATACATTCTAAAGTTTTGTTCTAAAGTGGTTTAGTTTCAACATTTTTTTTCTTTCTCAGCTTGCTACTTATTTTTTCATGTAATAATGATTCAGGTTCAGGAAGGAGAACTTGTACTTCTTACACTACTCTCTTCTGGCTCTGAAAGTGGTACTAAAATTGTGGGACCGAATTGAGTCTCTATTTTATAGGTAATGATTGGAATTCTCATGGTTTTTGGAATAGTCCTACATAACAGCTAGGAATGTTGGAGAAGCAATGTCTGCATTATGACAGACATTAGACTAGACAATCTGGGGCCCCTTTCTAACTCCAAAGCTTATGATATATTGAACATTATTATTTGATTATGATTACACTGGATGGAAAATTTTCTTCTCTATTATAGTTGTAAGGGTTGTAGTATTACATTACCTGTTTTCATTCAAATAACAGCAGTGATGTATGAAAACTTTTCTTCTTTATTTCATCGTTAGGAATGATTATTTTTGTTCATATGTGCTGGTGTTTAAAAGCCCACTTTTTGAAGTCAGGCATTCTGGGTTCAAACCTGGTCTCCATAACCAAATAACTTATTGTGGGCAGGTTACTTACATGATTCCTAATCTATAAAAGGACTGAGTGATAGTGCCTGCTTGATGCAGATTGAGGATTAAGTTACAATGTCTGAAAAGTGTATAGCTAAGGGATTGGTAACAGTAAATTTTCAAATGCTGTTTTAGAGGTTCTAAAATTACATCGCAGTACTGTATTATGGGTATCAGAGAATGTTTATTATCACTAAGATAAGGAGTTTAAAAAAAATTAGAAGTTGGGAGCTATAGTTTACATAGCATTTGAGAACTTTATCTTCATTGTGGTTTTCATTTATGTTCTTAACCTGTCTAAAAGTGCCATTAGGGAAAGCTGAATGACTGAAAGTGGAAATGTGTTTTACAGTATTACCTTATTTCTAACTTCGAAAAGTTGATGCCATCCTTTTCTATTCTAGCCCTTAATCATGCAGTCAGTAGGATCCAAAATTCAGAGTGTGGAGACAACAAAAACAGACACTGAAGGTAAAATTAAAGGTAGGGTTTTGAATAAAATTTTCATACTGGGAATGAAGCATGTTCAAATATATTATTGCATTTGTTGGAAACATTTGTTGTACTCTACTATTTGATCAGAGTATTAAAGCTAAGAAGATGAAAGCAGCTCAAGTGAAGGATTTTAGTATGCTTAGTTTACTGATGTATCCTGCAGTTAGAACTGTGCCTAGAAGCTTACAGTTGGCATTTAGTAACTGTTTAAATTAATGAGTAATGAAACTGTTACTTAATTTAACATGTAGTATTGGCCAAAATTACTAAATACTTTTTTGGTAGTTTCTAGTGTACATTTCTTTACACAGAATAGAGGCTAATAAGTATTTGTTGAAAGTTAATTTATACAAGTTACATTATTTACATTCTTTCTTTTAGCTAAGGAATATTGTAGAACATTATTTGCCTATGAAGGTACTAATGAAGATGAACTTACTTTTAGAGAGGGAGAGATAATCCACTTAATCAGTAAGGTAAGATATTTCTCAGTTTTTCAGTGAATCATTAATTTATAGAAATATTTTTCAGCATTCTTATAATTCCTCTAGAATACATAAGCTCTCGAAGAGTTGGCACTTTGTTTTGTTTCTGTATCCTAAGAACCTAGACATAGTAAGTGCTAAGAAAGTTCTTTTTATTTTGAGCAAACTTATTGTCTGTCTTTATTATAATTGATATATTTATCATGTTGTGTTTTTTTCTCTAACCCCAGTCCACCATAGGTTTCTGTTTTCACTTCCTATTCCTCATTCCATTTTTATCCTATATAGTTCTGTTGCCTGTATTATGAAAAGGAAAAGAAGAAAAAATGGGAAAAGTGTCCATCAGTATGTAAATGGTTATGAAACTTCATATTGTGGAAAATAATGCAGCTTTTTAAAAAAATGAGGTAGTTTTATAGGTTTGAATGAAAGCAGAAGAAAAAGGGAATCCAGTATTATTGGGGTGTGGGCAGACTCCTATAACTTGTAATAGAAAGATTAATTTATTTTGTTTTTGATATAACCATATAGATTAATTACTGAAATTTCTCCCATTGTTTTAAATTGACTTTGTTATCATGGTTTAGTGTATGCAGTTTTTAATAATCATGTTGTTTGGACTGATAATACCTAATTTCTTACAGAAGGGTTAGTATTTGGGAGGAATTGTAGAAAATCCTATTAATTTTCAAAGCAAATGAATAATGTTACTAATTTTTAGTATATAAAGTATTAAGAGTGTTAAGTAAGATGTAGTTTGTCTGTTTCCATCCTCCTCTCCCACTTCCTTTTTTCTTTCTCTGAGAAAATTTTATCCTTAAACTGAATTATAGGATTATTTAAATAATTTTTAAAAATTAAACCTAATTTTATATATGTTGCTACAATATGTGGTATGTAACATTTTCTTTGAGGAGCAGCTCATCTGTTCAGATCTTTTTTTCTTGTAAACATAATGGAATTCAGTATTTTACTGTTTTGTTGCAAAGTTTTTCCTTATTGAAAGATAACTCCTATTACCTTAATTATTTTTCATTTTGTTTTTTAGGATACTGGAGAAGCTGGTTGGTGGAAGGGTGAACTTAATGGTAAAGAAGGAGTATTTCCAGATAATTTTGCTGTTCAGATAAATGAACTGGATAAGGACTTTCCAGTAAGCTTTTATTTTTCATTGATAATAACAGTTTAAAGAAAATCTTTTGCCAATATTTCTTTAAAAATAGGTTTTTTGCATTGTTACCAAATAATTTTTTGAGAGGGCTTCCATTTTATGTATTCAGGTAGAAGTTATTTGAGTTATTATAAAACAAAACAATATTTTAGTTCTGTGCTTTATTCCTAGTTTTCTTTCCCTACTGACTACATAATTTCTACATATTCACAGAGAACAAAGTGAAGCCTAGTTATTTACCAGTGATATTTTGCTTTTCTACAACTTGATTCCTTTTTACTCCCATGGAGGGATGAAATATCATTTAGAATATTTATTTTTATTGACTTATAACTGACATACAATACCCTGTTAGTCTCAGGCGTACATAAATAGTGACTTGATATTTTTATACGTTATAAAATGATCCTCACAGTAAGTCTAGTTACTATCTGTCACAATACAAAGTTCTTACAACAATACTGTATTCCTTAAGCTGTACATTATGTCCCCTTGACTTATTTTGTACATGGAAGTTTACACCTCTTACTCCCCTTAACCTATTTTATCTGCTCACCAATCCCTCCCCACTCTGATAAGCAGTTTGTTCTCTGTAGCTATGAGTCTGTTTCTAGTTTGTTTGTTTGTTTTTTTTAGATCTACATGTAAGTAAAATTGCATGGTATTTGTCTTTCTCTGTATGACTTTTTTTACTTAGCATAATACCCTTTAGGTCCACCTGTGTTGTCACAAATAATAAGATATCAAGTTCTTTTTTGGAGTTGAGTAATACCGTGTGTGTGTGTGTGTGTGTACATCTTTACCCATTCGTCTATCAATGTGTGTGTGTGTGTGTGTGTGTACATCTTTACCCATTCGTCTATCAATGGCCACTTAGGTTGCTTCCATATCTTGGCTATTGTAAATAATGCTGTAGTGAACATACAGGTGCATATATCCCTTTAGATTGATGTTTTCATTTTCTTCCGATTGATATCCAGAAGTGTGATTGCTAGATCATGTTGTGGTTCTGTTTTTAATTGTTTTGAGGAACCTTCCCTACTGTTTTCCATAGTGGCTGAACCAATTTATATTCCCTCTATGTACACTATATAGGTTCCCTTTTCTCCAAAGCCTTGCCCACACTTGTAATTTTTGTCTTTTAGATAATAGCCATCTGACAGGTGTAAGGTGATATTTCATTGTGGCTTTGATTTGCATTTCCCTGATGAATTGTTATATTGAGCATCTTTTCATGTGCTATTGACCATCTGTATGCTTTTGGAGAAATATCTGCTCAGGTCCTCTGGCCATGTTTTAATTGAGTTATTTGTTTTTCTAATAAGTTGTGCAAGTTCTTTATATATTTATAGATATATAAAGTATTTATATATTTAACCTATTAACCCCCATTCGGATGTATGATTTGCATATATCTATTCCCATTTCATAGTTTGCCTTTTTGTTTTGTTGATGTTTCTTCCATTATGCTAAAACTTTTTAGTTTGTTGTAAACCCATGCACTTATTGTAGTTTTTGTTGCCCTTGCTTGAGCAGAGAGTTCCGAAAAAATATTAAGATTAGTGTCCAAGAGCTTACTTCTTGTATTTTCTCTAGAGTTTTGTGGTTTCAGGTCTTATATTCAAGTCTTTAATCCAGTTGTGAGTTTATTTGTGTGTATTGTGTAAGAGAGTGGTCCAGTTTAATTCTTTGTATGTAGCTGTCCAAACTTTTCTCAGTAAAGACAGTCTCTTTATCACAGAGACTGTCTTTCCCCATTGTATATTCCTGCCTCTTGTCATGGATTAATTGACTATATATGCATGTTTTTTTCTGTGCTCTCTATTCTGTTGTATTGATCTGTGTCTCTCTTCATGCCCATACTATATTGTTTTGATTACTCTAGCTTTTAGTATAGTTTGAAATCAAGGAGCACGACACCTCCAGCTTTGTTCTTCTCTCAAGATTGCCTTGCCTTTTGGGGTCTTCTGTGGTTCCATAGAAATTTTAGGATTATTCTAGTACTGTGAAAAGTGTCATCGGAATTTTGATGTGATTGCATGAAATATGTAGATTGCTTTGGATAGTAGTATGAACATTTTAATAATATTAGCCCATCTAGTCCATGAGCATAGAATATCTTTTATTTGTATTTTCAGTTTCTTTCATCAATCTCCAATAGTTTTCAGAGTACAGGTCTTTCACCTCTTTGCTTAAATTTATTTTTACATATTTTGTTCTTTTTGATGCAATTATAAATGGGAATGTTTCCTTAATTTCTCTTTCTGATATCCCATTATTAGTGTATGCAAATACAACTGATTTCCACATGTTAATTTTGTATCCTATGACTTTACTGAATTCATTTATTACAAGTTTTTTGGTGAAGTCTTTAGGGTTTTCTTTTTTACTATCATGCCATCTTCATATAGTAACAGTTTTACCTCTTTCTTTCTAATTTGGATGCCTGTTACTTCTTTTTCTTGCCTAATTGCCTTGGTGAAGAGTTCCAATACTATGTTGAATAAAAGTGGTGAGAGTTAGCATCCTTATCTTGTTCATGATCTTAGAGGAAAAACTTTTAGTTTTTCACTGTTTATTTCAATGTTAGCTGTGGGTTTGTCCTATGTGGCCTTTATTATGTTTAAGTACACTCCTTCTATACTCATTTTGTTGAGAGATTTTAGCATAAGTGAACATTGAATTTCTTCAAATGCATTTTCTGCATCTATTGAGTTGATATTTTTTCTTGTTTTGACAATGTAGTGAATCATATTGATTGATTTGTGCATGTTGAACCATCCTTGAATCCCTGGAATAAATGTCACTTGATCATGGTATATGATCCTTTTGTTCTCTTGTTAATTTGGTTTGCTGATATTTTGTTGAAGATTTTTGCACCTATTTTCATCAGGAATATTGGCCTATAGTTTTCTTTTTTGTGGTGTCTTTGTCTGGTTTTGGTATCGGTATCAGGGTAATGCTGGCCTTATAAAATGAGTTTGAAGCATTCCTCCCTGTTTAGTATTTTGGAATACTTGAGAAGGATAGTATTAACTCTTCTTCAAATGTTTGGTAGAATTCACCATGAAGCCACCTGGTCCTGGAGTTACCTTGCAGGGGAGTTTTTAATGTTATTAATATTTGTTGCTCATTATCAGTCTATTCAGATTTTCTATTTGTGATTCAGTCTTAGAAGGTTGTATGTTTCTAGTAATTACCCATTTTTTCTATGTTTTCCAATTTGTTGACATATAATTGTTCATAAAAAATCTTATGATGTTTTGTATTTCTGTGATGTTATTTCTGACTTTTATTTCCTATTTTATTGATGTGGTCCCTCTCTTCCTCTTGATGAGTCTGGTAGAAGTTTATCAATTTTGTTTATCTTTTCAAGTAACAGCTTTTAGTTTCATTGATTTTTTTCCCCTATTCTTTTTAAAATCTTTGTTTTATTTATTTCTCTCTGATTTTTATTATTTTCTTACACTCACTTCGGGATTTCTTTGTTGTTTTTGGAGTTCCTTTAGGCATGAAGTTAGATTTTTTAATTCTGGATCTTTGTTGTTTCTTATTATCTGTGCAAGCAGGTC